GACAAATTGATTTTGTAAGTCAAGGGTCCATTATAAAGCAGTACCAGGCTGTCTTTTGCACCGCGCACTGTGGTTCTGCCTTGGTATCTGTTATATCTCCACGATCAGATTATAACTTCATTGGAAGCAGAGTCCACCTCATGTCTTGGTACTCTGTTGAGCACACAGTGCTGCACATGCTGAATCAGAACCTGGGCTGACCTTAGAAAAGTACTGAGGGTCGGGCCCCTGCTCTGAGGGTCTCAAAACCATTTAGAAGCCGAGTGTGGTGGTGTACACCTGTAATGCCAGCACTCTGGGAGGCTGACACAGGAGGATTGTAAATTAGAGCCCAACCAATGTAACTCAGCAACTTAGTGAGAGATCGATCCTGTCTCAAAATAAAAAATAAAATAAAAATGGGTTGGGAGTGTAGTCCAGGTAGAAGGTCCCTGGATTCAGTCTCTAGTACTGAAAAACAAGTCTAGGAGGCTCAATTGCTGCAAATAGGTGATCTAGGCATGGGTGACACAGGTTTTCACTGAGAACAGGAGAGGGCTTGCTGGGCCGCTGACCTGGCAAGCAGACAAGAACCCAAGTGTCCTTCAGCACCGCTTTATTCACCACACTGAGCCCAGTCACACAGGCAATTTCCCTGAGATAAGCAAAGTCAAATGTTTTACAGATGTAGGAAGAGATGTTAGAGGTTTTTTTTTTTTTTTTTTTTTTTTTGGAAAAATGAGGAAATTTGTCAGTAAACAGAAAGTGCTCTTCAAAAATGAGAGTTCATGGTTTCCATTCATAGCCCTCCTTGGGTGCAAGCAGGACTCCTGGGATTCAGTGGTGGGCTGGAGCCCATTCCTGAAGAAGGTGAAATGAATTCTGCAGTGATAGTTCTGAGCTGCTGACAATTGGCCAGCAGTGATAAGGAGCTGGAGAGCTGTGGGTGCCGCATCCCCGTCCATCTCCTGGTGGCCCTGAGTACAGTCACACTGTTTAGTTGGCCTGGCTCCTCTCCTGGACCCAAAGCCATTTCAGAGGAATATTAGTAGATACCATTTGTTGATTGTCATTTCCAGATTCTAGTTCAATTTGCAGGCAGCTGTGGCCAGATTTTAAATTACATTTGGGTCCTGTGATATTGGACATTGCTGTTGTCACTGGCTCTAAGGAACAATGACAAGGAGTCACCCTATCAATCATCAGCAACAAGAAACCACTCACCAGATGGAGAAAGAGGCACAGGGATGTTGCTTCTTGGAAGGAGTAAACTTTGCTGATCTCATCCTTTTAAAATAACTGTTTTATTTGTTTCATCTGTTGGTTTTGTTAGCCCCTTACAGGACTCAGGCAGGAGCCAACTGTCTTTGTGGTTTTTCTAAACCAGTGAGTTGAGGACAAGGTTCATTTTGCACAGTTGTAAACATTCCCAGTGGAATTTGGGGCTTCCTGTAACGATTCTCCAGGCACAGGGGCCTGCTGGCTGAGGATCTAAGCTCAGCCTTGGGATTTGGCACTGTCCTTGGACTAAGCCAGGGGCCCACTTGTGTGGCTAAGTGGTCTTTGGCTGCCTGTTTCTCCTCAGCTATGACTGTTATGTGAACTGAAAAGCAGGGAAGTGTCCCTTCTCCATCTACTTTCTCAGCTTCTGGATCTTCTGACCTCCGATTTACTCAAGCTAGAATCAAACAATCACACTCCCCAAAGTGGCAGCATTCATTCCTTCCCACAGTGTGACCTTCATGTTGCAATTATTTTGCTCCTGCCATTGTAGTCATCTTTCTCCCCCTACTTGGTTGGAGTTGTCTATGGTAAAAAGTATCATTTTGTGCTGGGTATGTAGCTCAGTGGTAGAGCACTTGTTTAGAATGCATAAGGTCCTGAGTTTGAGCAACAGCACTACAAAAAAAAAAAAAAATAGTGTTACCTTCATCCAGGTAGGCAATCCTCCTGGGACTAGTGCAAACCTGCTGCAGGTATCCAGGACATAAATGCAGGCCTAGTTATGTGCAGAAATTCTCAAAATCCAGGTTAAAAAAATATAGCCTTCCCCTCCTTCCTGCACTTCTCCAAGGAAAATGCTTAGAAAGGGCCCCCTGTATTCTGGATCTACCAGTGTCAGAAGTCTCTCTAGCTCTTCTGCAAGGTAACAAGAGCTATGCTCAGATATTCAGGGCCAATTGTGGGTATTACAGATTTTGGTTTGTTCACGCCTCATTTTATAGACAATGAACAGAGGCTTCCAGAGAATGAATCCAGTTGATGGCAGAGGCAGAACTGAGTCCAAGCTCTCCGCCTCCAGAGCCCAAGTATACTTTCTCCCTGCAAGTAAGATTTAGAATCTCAGAGCTGAAAGAACCCTATAAGAGCATGGTGAACTCACCTCACTGAGGAAAACAGGGCCAGAAAGGTGGTCCCAGAGCCCATTCGTGCTAGACGGGGCCTGACATCCAGGCTCCCATGAGCACCCTTAGGACGAGTGTCTTGTGTATTAACCTTGACAAGTGGGTACAGCAAAACACAAGAGCCAGCTCACAGGTGGAGTGCTTCCTGTGCACCAGAGACATGCCAGGCCTTCACCTATATAAGTATTTCACACCAGCCAGCCAGTCCTGCCTTTTGAGAGGTGAGGAAACTCAGGCTTAAAGAGGCTTGGTTATGAGTAAGAGCAGACTTGGGTTTTGTATGCAGATTTTCCCGACTTTTTCCACCCATTACATTCTACCTTCAGACACTGGGCCACAAAACCAAGGCAGGAGGAGTTTTCTGGGCTGAAGGAAAAATTCAAATCAGCTCTAATTGTAATGTAGTAAAACTCCGAAGGTGGCCTTAGTCTTGGACCACGACTTCAACAGAGAAAGTCCTTTGGAAGCAGAACAGCCAGTCCTTAGAGCTGGGCCCAGTTTTTCCTGTGGTCACCCCCTCGCTGTGGGAACTCTCTGATCCACCAGCACAGAATGTGGAACTGCAGCTGTTCACTGCCAAGGCTCCAAGATCCTTCTATGGTCCATCTGGGTGAGGGCCCAGGAGGTGCAAATGTCCTGCCTCTCTAGACCTTGGAGCAGGAATGAACTTCTGGGTGTTAATTTCAGTAAGTCCATGTGCCAGTCATAGTTCAGATTTCCCCTCTGATACCTGGTAGCCTTAGGTCTCAGCCATTCCATGAGGGGCCTCCAAAAGGCCTGCTGCTCCCATTTCTAATCCTGCCGGTTGGTGCTGGGCCCTTGGACTTGGCACCTGTTCCTCTCATAGCATGAGTTATCGGCACCTGCTCAGGGCCTGGTTTTTCCTGCTCTGGGCAAAAGGTGAGACTGGCTGTCGGTGGAAGGGCTGCTGTCCTTCTCAGGAGGTGCTGCTGTGTGGAGCCACGCTCCCGATGGGGGTGGGGAGCATGACTCAGGGTTTAATAGAGGGTACGGAGGAGCTGTGAGAGATTCCAGTCGAAGCTGCATTTAGGTCTATTCATAATGTGGGCAGTTATCTATTGTAAATCATGCGAATGATTCACAATAGATCCTAGGTAAATCATGCAAATCTGCTGCAAAATGGAGTATTTGCTACAAATAGGCTTTGAAGGGGTGTTGGTGATGAGTGAAATAGTGTTTGTGCAGTGTGAGATCCAGGAGTCCTTGAACACATTGTGTTCGTGGATGATACATTTTCACAGAGGCCTTTGCTCCCAAGAATCTCACTGCCCTCCCTGAAAATCCTGGTCTTGTAAATCCTCACAAGAATCTCCCAAGGCTAGTGGGGAGATGAAGAGGCCCAGAATTCCTTCTCCTACCTTCCACTTCGGCCTTGGCCACCTCAGCTGCGGTAGCAGCTGTCAGTAGCTTGGAACAGGCTCCTCCATTGCCTCAAGACCTACTACCACTTTGCAGGGGGAATTGAGAAGGCCAATTTAATTGAACTGATTGCCACTTACAAAGCTGTAGTTACTCCTCCAAGAGCCTATTTAAAGTTTCTGAGCTATATGAGATAACAAAATAAAAAAAAACACAGTGTAAGGCAAAGGATGATTATCAAATTGCTTTGGGAAGCTTCAGTGTGAAAAAGATACAAAAGAAAGATTGAAAGGTATTAGTCTGTGAGTCTCACTGAGGTCAGAGGACTAACATCTTTTTTTTTTTTTTAAAAGACTTCAGGAATAAAACTTTAGAAAATGTACACACACATACTGCTATCAACTCAGATAAATGTGAGTTTCTATTTTAGATTACATTAATATTGTTAACCTAGTTTAAATTCCTATGGCACAGCAAGAGTCTTACATAGTTATAAGATTTTTTTAATGCATGAGCTTTAAACTCGTTTTCTTACTTTAAATAGATGTATATTAACTCTCCGTTTAGTCTGCAGGACCTCCTAGCTTAGTGTAACAGCCCAGCAAAATAAGAGTGGATACAAACTCTGTAATTTACTCACAGGCATAAATGGATATATAAATGTAAAAATGTGCACAATATTTTATACCATGCTTGACTTCATTGTGACCTAATGTTTATAATATGTAAATAATGGCTTCCTTCTAAAGCAAAGAACTTTTAATATACAGATTCATCAGAAAGTCCATTTTCTTTAATATAAACAGAAATAAAAAGCAAAAAGTATTCTTTTGCAATAAATAAATACCCAGTGACAAAGGTTACCATTGAAGGGATTAAAAATGACAGAAGTCAACAGAAAACTTTCAATATCATACTTCTACTTTAATATGAAGATATTGTTATCAAAGGAAACCTCAAGAAATTCTTTGATAAAAATAATCTCACACTATCTTTGAAGCAGTTTCATTTATTTTACTTCCCACTGTGTTCCTTATCAGAGGGCCAAGGGTAAGAAGTTTCCTAGTTCTGATTAGGAAAGAATCTGATAGATCAGAAGACCCAATTGAAGTGGGACATAATAAGAATTAAAGTATTACATGACATTAATCCTGCCATTCCATTACTCTCTCCATCTTTGTGCACAGACTAATTATTCTGTAGCCAGTGTTCAGAAGAAAATAGAAACATACTCACTGTGGGCTGGAGTAATCGCTTTATTGCATCAACAAGGCTGGCTCTGTACTGGTCCAGAAACAGGCTGACATTGGGAAGAGAGCAGTATCCAGATTAAACTGGGTTTTCAAGTCTAAAGATACTAATAATAGTGATAAATACAAGGCTAATTTCATATTTACCCAATGCTAAAAAAGAGAAAAGTGCCTCACCGGAGGAAAAACATTTTATGATACTGGGAATCAAACAAGGCCTTCTACATGCCAGACAGGTAGGTTCTATACTACTGAGCGGCTCCCTGTAGCCCCAGTAGAATCTTTTTTTTGGTACCAGGGATCGAACTCAGGACCTTGCCCTTGCAAGGCAGGTGCAGTGCCACTGAGCTAAATCCCTGTCCCTGGAAAAACATTTTAAAAAGAAGATACTGTGGTCAGTGTTTCCTGACTACGTGCCATGTACCAGGATTCACACGTGACTGGGCCATGTGTTAATGTTCAAGGACAATTTCTCAATTGCTGGTCATGGGTGTCAGCGGGTAGAGGTGAAGCACCTGGCATTTCCCCTTGTTTGAGCCTAGTCTCCCATAGGCCTGGACGCTCTGCTCACCCAGGGTGAGGCAGCACTGAAACCACAGAAGAGACACAGCGGGTAATGGTTGTGAGTGACTAGGGACAGTAAGAAGCTCATATTCAACCACTTAGGAGGGAACAGCCCCCAAAACAGCACAGCGCCAGTCTGTCCCAGAGACCACGGCATCATGGAGCTCAAGGGACCTTTTTTCAGTTCAGTGTGTTCTTCATTTTCCTCCTCTGGTCTTTTGACTGCTTCTGCTGTTGCTTTCATTCCTTTGTTGAATCAGTCTGACCCTGTCTTTACCTCTTCACCAGGCCTTATCCTGGAAGCTTGGAACACAGTTATTTTTCCTTATCTGAACTTGCAGGTCCCAGACTTGAGTTTGGATTACTTGGCAGCAGGTGGCAAGTCAGTTAACTTAGCTATGCCTAGTGCTATGGTTTGTATGCTTCCCCTGCCTTGCACAGTTAATGTGTTAGAAACTTAATCCTTGCTGCAACAGTTTTGAGAGGTGGGAAATTGGGTGCCTTTTTGGTCCTCTGCCTTCTGCCATGTGAGCATACAGAGTTCCTCCCTCCTGGAAGATTCAGCATTCAAGGTACCAACTTGGAAGGAGAGACCATGCCCTCAACAGACACTGAGGCTACAAGCACCCTGACCTTGGAATTCTCAGGCTCCAGAACTGTGAGCAATACATTTCTGCTCCTTCTAACTTATATTCTAATAGCACAAAATGGACTAAGACACCTGGGATGTTTCTGAAAGCCAAGGAAAGGTTTCTGTGGATGGAATTGCAGTATAGTGAAAGCATCCAGTGCTGAAGGCACACAGAGCAGAGCTGGTTGCCAAACACCCCCCTGTGAGGCGCACAGCATCTGGGAAGGGCTCCTGAACATGTCGGAAGTGCTCTACCTCAGGGAAGCAAAGCTGCTGGAATCTGCCAATGACATCCATAGGTGGGGACTACTTTTTTTTTCCTGAACTCCTTGGCTATTTGCATCTGTAGTGACCTCTTCATTACTGAGCTCAGTACTGCAAGCAGAGCATTTGGAGGTTCCCCTCCCAGCTTCTTGTGTCCCACAGTGCCCTCCTGCCTAGGCTCCCAACTTCTTGAAGGCAGGGAGCATCTTATGTTTCTTTGCCTCTTCCACAACATTTGGAAAAAAGACATGGCCACAGTAGTCTAAAAGACTGACTGACTCTCAAGGAAGAAGCCCAATGCTGGGAAGGTGATAGTGCGATAAAGGCAGATGGCCTGAGGGGTGGATGTCACAGGCCCTCAGCTTCTCACTCATTGCTTCTAAGTTGTGTGTTTGCAATGCAAAGGTAAAGACTGTTCTACTGCATAAAAATTGATGCCCGCATCTTAAAAACCAGGGATCACAGATACTTTTCAAAAGGCATCTTAACTCAGAACCTAAGTCCAAATACATTTTTTGGAATGCGATGTGAAAAACCCTTCCATTCACATCTTGGATTTACCTTCTTATAGTGAGTGGGTCCCCTACTCCCTGACTGGAACCCCTAGCAAGTTTTTGCATGAGCCAGCTCATGAGCAGCCTAAGCAAGACCCTTATTCCATTCCACTTGCAGTAGGTTGGTCCACATCCCCCCCCCCCCCGCCAGCATGATAAGCTCCACCTGCTCCAGGCCCAGTCTCATGCTGCTATGGGCTAATAGTGAGTGTGGACCTTTCTTCTGTGTGCCCCTGGCCAAGTCACTTCATGTAAGGCCTTAGTTTCCTTGTCAAGAAAAGCCCATCTATGTGGTATTCTGGGCATCAAATTAATAATATGCCTTAGTTCACAAATACTGTTGATTGTCTGTGGCATTAGTTTAGGTATCAGAGATAAGTATGAATAGACAGGGCCTCTCCTCAAGGAGCTTCCATTCTGAATCCATGTACAGTTCCCAGGTCCCGGGACAGCAGTGTTTAGCAGAAGGTCCTAAACAAATATTCACTTGCCCACTGATGACAGCTCATCACAACCCCGGAAATGGGGGATGTTCATACAGGGTGTGCGTTGCAGTGATCCTAAAACAGGCTGTCCACACACCATTAGCGGTGTTGTTGAGTGTGAATCAATATTTAGGTAGGACAGTTCCCCCAGCAGGTTCTCTTTGGCTTTGATGAGTCTCCCACTGGAGAATGAGGAGTGAGGAGAGCGGCTTATGAGAAGTGACCAGAGTCTGCACTTGAGTTTCTTTGGTCAGCACAGGCTCACGAAGGCTCTTCTGTGGAAGAAGTGTTCATGCCATGGGGAAAGAAGTCTTCAGATGAGCTAGAGCACAGGGAAGAGAGAGCCTTGTCCCATGTCCTCCCAGCAATCGGGATAACCCAGAAACATTTTCTTATCTTTAATAAAACTACATCCTTATTTCTCAGCGTACAGAATATGTCTAGTGCAAATGCTACAAAAATTTGTCACTATATCATATGAAGCAGTGATTAATGAGCCTTCAGGATTGATGAGAAAGGAATTAAATTGTAACTAAGTCGTTTAAAAAAAGTTTGCTCTTCGGAACACGGTATTTTATTTTTCAGTGAGGTAATTATATCTTTAGTTTTAATAATTACACTTTCTTTTTGGTCCTGGGGATTGAACTCGGGACCTTGCACTTTTGAGGCAGACAGCAGAACCACTGACTAAATCCCTGGCCCTAACATTTTCATTTTTTAAATTAAAAAAAAAATTTTTTTAAGAAGACTATCACTGAACCAGGTGTGCTGATGCACGCCTGTAATCCTAGGGCTCTGGGAGGCTGAGGCAGGAAGATCACAAATTCAAGCCCAGCCGGGTAACTAAGCAACTTAGTGAGACCCTATCTCAAAAAAAGGGGCTTAGTGAGACCCTATCTCAAAATTTAAAAAAGCTCCACATGAAGGCCCTGGATTCAATCCCCAGTACCATAAAAAATTATCTCTGTAAGAAAATATCTCTGTCAATGACTTAAGCCAGTAAGCTACCTGGCAGGTTGGGATAAGCTAAACAAAGGAGCTAAGCAAAGAACCACTCTGTGCATCCTTAGAGCTGGTAAGGTTGTTAGAAAAAGATGAACAGTACCTTACCAGCTGAGCTTAAAGCATGGCCTGAAAAGCCCTTTCCACTGAATGTAGGTGATGGTGACAAAGAGGTTAACATCACAGTGAACTGGAAAGTGTAGCTTAACACACGACACATTCCAAACACAGTGCAAAGGCAACAGCACCGACTCCATTCTTCCAAATCACATTTCCCAAAAGCAATTCTTGTAGTTCTCTAATAGATCTTTATTCCAAGCGAGCTCACTTTTCTACTTAGTGCTGATACAGAATTTATAACGCTTTGTAGGGTACATCATATGAGCAATTTCAATGTGTTTTAGTGGGAGTGATATGTAATCTCCTGAAAATTCACCCCTTAAATAAGTCCTAATGGCTTGGAGAACAGCAGTAGCTTAAGTGGATCTATTTAAAAAGGCTGAGTGGGTCAGTGATGGGGATGGAGATACCATTTCAACTCTCCCTTCAGTTACTGATCAAAATATGCTGACAGTCCAGTTTGCCCATTAAAATGCGCGCGCGCGCACACACACACACACACACCCCTCTATGTCACTGCTGTGGCAGCAACACTTGCTTTGTTCCATGGATCTGAGTCACAGATTTTCTGACAAAGGAAAGGTGTTGGGCCATTTTCCTCACCTCCTTTAGAATCAGAATTGTATGCAGAGCATAGAGTATCTAATTCCTCTCATAGGGAAATTTATTAGTGTGAAGCATAAGGAGATATTTCTCTCTGTATCCGCAGAAAGGAAGACCCCCATGCAATTTTCACGGTGAAATGTACTAAGTTAAATTCACTGCTTTAGATTTAACTTAAAGCAGAACGATGGTCTTAACTGATTTTTGTGGGAGCTCAGGGTAATGCCATACTTTACTCTCACTTGGCTCTACCCCTTTAGTTGGGAGATCCTGGGCAATTCGTATGTTTTCTTAGGGATGGAGTCTTCCCAGGTGTGAGGTGAAAGGACTGACTACATTTGGGCTAAAGATCTTTTCAGATGTAAGGGGCTGTGAGTTATGATTTAGAACTTTCCATGATTGCAGCATCTGGAAAACAAAGAACTTCTTGAACCTATAGTATTTCCACTTAAACACCAAACTTTTTTCACCATCTAGAAAAAAGTAAAAAGGAAGGTAAAAAGAAAAATCCACAGCATGGAGTGTAAAGATACTGAAAGGGTGAGCAAGGTAGTGTCGACAGGTCCATGTACTTTTTCCTGCTTCCTCCCAAGTCTCAGGCTGTGGGCACACAGATGTGCTGATTGTCCCTCACACCCAGCTCCATGAGTCGATCAGGTTCTGGGTAGTACTGCAGACATGGTTTCTAAAATACAGAGGATTTTTGGAGGATTCAAACATACGGAATCACTTTTATTTTTGTAGAGCTACAATCAACTGGAGAGCTGTCAAACACTAAATGAAAATGTTCATTGGATTTTAAAAATCTAATTTCCAGACCTTTAGATTATATTATGAATGAATAGGAGTCTGAAAAGGCAGTTTAAAAATTAATCACTCTTTATTCTAAATGCAGCAAGGACCAGGCTGGACCATATTCCAGCAGAAAGGAATTCTTATATTAAACTCAACATTAAAGAAGCCCGCTCAGAGACTTAATAGGCAGGTTTCCCCCCTACACCTGCAGTTAAATATTCTAATATTTTGAAGTTTGTCAACAGCGTCCTTTTGCAGGTGTGACTGTACCTTGATTTTTCCTCTGTTTATTTCGAAGTCGACATTTTACAAGTTATTTAGGAACTGTTGAACCATGAAACTATTTTTCATTGTCAAAAATGCTGAATGGTGAAATAATGACTAGCTTTCACAGTTTGCTTCTTTATTTTATAATCGAGTTGAACTACTAAATTTGGAAGTGAAGTAAGAGAGTGTCTCTTCTGGAAAATAAGTTATTTCTCCCATTCCCCACAGGTTTATGAATGTTTGAATGTAAATATATGAATATATGAATGATTTAGGAACATAAACATATCACCACTTGTTGTAATCATGTGCATTTTACTTGAACCACAATGTGGGTTTGGAATAGGTTTGTGAATAGAGCTTGTTTTCATGTAAATGGGATCAAGCAGTACCACTGGTTAGCTATTCAGGAAATCAGACAATGCCACCCTTGCTGGAAATGCTTCAGTAAGAATTTAATCCATGTACCTAATATCTGAACTCCGACTCTTGCTTCATATTCCTGTGGCCTAATCCAGATCTCATTGACTGACAATGACTACAGGAAAGTGTGAGACTCACTGTGATCTATTTATGTGTGGTACCACTTTCTGGCACTGATTATTTCAGGTTTCATCTTGGAGGGAGCATCTAAACAGAGCTTTATCTGCTCTGTGACTTTCTAAAATAATGCAGCATGGCCTGCCTGCCGATAGAAGCAAGATCCAGGCAATAAAACTCCTATGGAGAAACACCAAACCTACAGGACATAAAGAGCTCATGGAATCCTGTGCTTCTCTGCTATACACGAAACATAAACATCACTGTACTTTCTAAGTTCCTACACAGCTTACCAATCTCTCTGAATATGAAGAGAGACCATTACCAAAGAATTTCTTTTGGAAATAATATCAGCATTGCAGTGAGAGTAGCTTAATAGTTCACATTTACAAATGGGAAATTACAAACAGGCTGACATTCTGGCACTTACAACACCAGGAAAAAAAACTTAACAATTCATGCATAGAAAAGCCATTTATAAAATGAAGCTTGGTATATTTAGTTCATTTGGATCCATAAATTCTCACATAGCTACCATGTGTGTGTGTACATATAATATTACATTATGTTATGTATTTGTAATGAAAGCCTTAAACTGAGTATGTGACCCTGTTGTCAGCTAGGGAAAAAAGACTATTTTTCAAACATGTTGTGTGGTTATTTTTACCCTGAGATCATTAATCAGAAAAGAGCTTAAATCTTACTTCCTCTGCTTGCCTCTCTGGTACAAATAGGATGACATGGTAAGAGTGTCCATAACAGCACGTACAACAAAGCCAGGCTGTTCTGATATTTCTGTGAAGAGCAAATTCAACTGTAAATCTTTTGGCCAAACCTGCTTTTCCTCACATCATCAGAGCCCATCGGGGTATGACCCTCATTTAAACCGTCAAGAAGGTGCTGCCCCTTCCTTCTTGCTGCTGCTCTCTGATCTGGCTCCCTTGCTTAATCTGATCTAATCCTGCCAGCATTATCTTCATCTGCACAATGAAACCTGGAAGATCCATTCTCATATTTGGTGAGGAAAGGCATTTACTAAATTGCTTGTTGAAATCATATGGTGAAGCTTTATCTCCCTATTTTTGATTCAATGAGGGGTATGGAGTTGAGGCATATTATCAATGATTAGTTAGAAATCTAGGTTACTCCCATTTTGGATGCAAAGAGACTAAGAGAGGCAGGCAAAAAAACCTAAAAGAGCCATGAAAAACTAGAAAATCTCAGTTACATTACAATAAAATGCTTATTATTCATGGAGAAGTATTTTTCAGAAGAAAAAATAAAGCAAACCTAATCCATTGATTTTGGTAGAAAAGCGATCTATTGAAAATTTATTCTAATAATAATCATCATCATAAAACTACTTCCTAAAAATGTCATTCAACTCTCTTCTATGAAAAAAATCTTCTCTGAGTTCTGGATCTTATGACTGGGCTTATCAATATAGTCAAACTTCATCAGAACCTAAACTTGTATTTTTAAATCTACAGTGCCATAATAATCAGCATGATGAAACTACAAATAAGATTTTACTGTTAACACAGATAATACTTGTGAATCGCCCATGTTTCCCATATGTTGGAATGATTACCACTCAAATTACAAGAAGTGCATAAGAATAGTTGAAATAATTATTAAGGTCTGATACATATTTATCCTGTAACTTAGGATTAGACTTTCATTAATAAATAAGTAGACTGGGCTAAAAGAGAATGTCTAATGTAAATTATTTTTAAAAAGTAGGCACCTGACAGAGGTCTGAATGTTATTATTTGCATAAAAATAAAACAATTTTATACTTTTGTCCTATGTATAATTAAAATATCATAATTGAATACATTGAAAATATTAGATAGCAAATACACATTTGAAGAAAAGCTATTTCCCCAAAGATATTTCACAGATATGTTTATTTGCTGGAGAGGATGTATGTATACACATATATATTCCCTTATATCAATAGTCAGATCTCTCCTAAGAAGTAAGCTAATTGAGCTGTTTGTGTTGATAAACTCCTTTTTCTCCAGACTATTCCACTCCGAGCCATAATTATTTGCAATTTGCCTAAGTTGTCCATTTACTGATACGTCAAGCATGAAACAGAGGCAATTCCAGAAAATGGAAATGCTTCTCAAAATCAATCTTTGGGAAATAATGTGGTAGAAGTTACTGTGTGATAGAAGACTACCTTATAACTGTCACATGGAGATGAATATTAATTTGTTGAGGTTAAGGTGGCTTTGTGCTTCATTTGTTGACTTTGCATAGCCGTCAGCAAAGCAGTGCAGCCCAATTACTCCAGCAAAGCTGTTTTTTCTACCAGGAGTTTTATGATTTTTATGTACTTACCAGTCAGCACACATAACAATGTCAAAATGTCCTTCCAGTTGAGAGACATCTGTCTCATTATCCCATCGTAAAACGCTTGAGGAGAAAAAGATTTTAAAAATTATACTTTGGCTTTTTAAAAAAAAACTTTTGATTTTAAGCTATTAACATTTTTTGTGGCACTTGAAATTATTTAAAAGGTATATACAAATTATTTCAAAAAGATATAATAAAAAACTAGGATGTAACTGTCTTCTACATTTTATTTAGACTTCAAATCTAGAAAAGGAAGAAAACTCTACTTAAATACAATAGTTAAGCTTTTGCTAGTGTTTATAGGTTTTTGTAGACAAGCCAGAGAAAAGTATCTTTACCACGGTCTTTGGAACGAGTCTAGACCCTTAACATCAATGAGGTACATACTGAAATCAAAGTATTTTTTTATCTGGCTGGACTACAAATTTATAAGATAAGAAAGTGAAACTCAGTATCTACCTGCTTGTCATGTCAGTTACATTTTTTATTGATGAAATGTGCGAGCTGGAAAGATGGGAGAGAACAGCCAATCATTTGGTGTTCTCAGTTCTCAGGCATACTTTAAAATCTCCCCACACTGACACTTGTCTCCAAAGGAGGATCAGTTTTTAAACTTCACATTAATAATATTAATTAATGACATGCATTTGAAAATTCTGGTTGTTTATAAAGTTAACCAGGGGTTTGCACTAATCTCACTTGATAACTGTGATTATCATTGTATCATTATAATATTTCAATGGTTTTTCTCTCTACCATACTAAAACTGTGATTTGCAGTAGTATTTTTTAAAAAGTAAAATTCTATTACTATTTCCTATTTTGATTCTTTAGACATCAATCGAGTAATCATATCTACCATATCCAGTTATATTCGCTTATTTTCGGTGGGTTCTGTATTTCTTCTACATCTCCATTGAGTGAAAAGTGATGTGTTTGAGTATAAAAAAATGTGTTAGTCTAGTCAACCCCAAAATTCTTTTCATGTACATTAATATACATCAATGCTGTCGAATATAAAGTAGAGAAGATTAAACACGTCATCACAAGAACACCTGCACAGGCTGAGTGCGTGCTAGCCACTCACTCATGTGAGTCATGCTTACTGAGCACCTGCTTACCATGTGTCAGGCTCTTTCTGCTCCACAGGACAAGCCTTCACAGAGGTAGCCTGGCGAGCCACACAACCATGTATACCTGTAATTCCAGTGCTGTGACCTGTGTGTTATGTGAGCAGACAGACTCAGAGCACCAGGAAAGGCTTCCCCAAAGTGGGTACCTCAGTGTTCACATGTCCTGTGACAGGGACATGCTTTATGAGTTAACGCTAGTGTCATTACACTTGCCTAGGCCCTGGGGAAAGCCAGGAAACAAAGGAAACCAGAAAAATCCCTGGGAAATGAACTTTGCTTTTGGACTCCTCAGAAACTCCACGCACCCATGGAGAGTAGGGAAGAACCAATACCAATTTTTCTGGACCTGCCAAGGCTTCTGGTGTCCTGGGACTCGGGCTCAGTGCAAACTGAGCATGCTTAGCCCTCATCAAAGACCAGAAAATCCTCCCCAGCTTCTGGGAAGCTTTCAGCTGTGGATCACCACAGCAGCTGGAACAAGTAATCTCTAAGTAGGAAACTGAAGTGCCCAGTGTAGTCATATGAACCGCAACACATTATCCAGGAGCATTATCCTCAGTCTAACAAGGCTGAAGGCCATGCTGTCCCTATAACCGGAAGCAGGTGACACAGAGAAAGTGGTGTGATCAGCACCCTGCTTTAGGAAAAGAGACACTCGGAGGTTTGCATCTTGATTTCCTACTCTCAGGAGGTGTGTGAGTTTGGGCACTTCCTTAACTTCTCTGTGTTTGCTTTCTAACTTCTTGATTCAAGGAGCTGATCCTTGCAATGCCTCACAGCCAATGACCTTGCCCCACCCTCCAGACTGCCACATGCAGCCAAGCTCTAGAGTAGTGCTTCAGTTACAGTTTGCTTGTATCCAATTTGTTGGGATACTTTTGCAAAATTGAATAACAAATTAATAGAAAGTGAGATTTAAAAAATAATAGACTGGGGAGTTAGCTCAGTGGTTCTGGCACCTGCCTTCAAGTACAAAGTCCCAAGTTTGATCCCCGGTACCAAAAAAAAAAGAGAAAATAAAGAGCAAAATAAAGGCTACGTAATAGGATGTAAGGAGATAGATCTCTTGCAAATGGGAAAAGGATCAAGATATGGAGGAGGGAGGAGGGAGGGGAGGGAAAGGGGATGAAAATGTACCAATTTCCCACATATTATGTACATGTACCAATTTCTTACATTATGTACTATAGACATGCACTAACAAAAAAAAAAAAATAGAAAAAAACCAAACGAAACCAAAGGCATTCCAAATACAAGCCCACAAGTCCTATGCTTGCATGTTACAGCAGGGTTTCCAGACCCTGACTTTGAATTTCAGAACATACTTCACTGCAAATGGTAACACGCAGTTCACAGCCTGGCACTGTCCTTCACAGCCCACTCACTGAGTGCCACTGCTCTGAACCTTGTCCTTTCCAATAACCACAACCCTCCTCTACTCTCAGACCATCTCCTCCTCTCTTCCACAGCTCACTCCTTCTGCAGCTTCTCCAGTCCAACCATTCATCAACCTCACTGGTCTACAATCCACTGATGATACCAACAGGTCAAGCACTGTTCCTCTTCCCTAAAGTTTACCTTTCTTCCTTACCCAGCTTAAACTGCATTTCAATTAATCCTTTGAACGCAGCCTCAACTCTTTTGTCTCTCTCTTACTTCCTCAATTTTGTTGCATCCAGCTCTTTGCCTGGTCCATGTCTGCATTTGTGACCTTGAATGCATTGGAGAAGCACACGGCACCCTGACTGGCTTCGCTGTAGATTCAGGACAATGAACCTCAAGGGGACTCAGTCATGCCTGGAAGTTATGCTTACATTTCCTTTGTCCATTTGCTCTTCCATTCTCCTAAGTCATTATTCTGTACCTTCTCTCTTTTCAACATGCTAACACTACCTCCCTCATCCTTGCTTTCAGCTAATGGCCTTGCTTGCTATGTTACTGTCAAATCATCTTCTTTAGGACAGGCTGTAGCAATTTCCTTTCTCTTTCCTATACTGTCTGCTCTTCTCTCTCTGAATTAATTCCACCAGTCTTCAGCCATGCAGTTATATCCTTCCTTATGAAATACCTTTTTTTTTGGTACCAGGGATCGAACTGGGGACCTTGCGCTTGTGAGGCAGGCGGCGGAACCACTGAGCTAAATCCTGGCCCATGAAATGCCTTCTTTTGAGGCGACCTTCCCTTCCAGTTATTACTCCCTTTCTCTACTTCTCCTTTGCAGCCAAATTCTTCTCTCATCCCATTCTATTTTCAATCCTCTCTAATCAGCTTTTGTCTCCACAGTTACCAAAACTGCTCTTGTGAAACCCACCGAAGATCTCCATATTGCTAAGTTCTTAGTCCTCTTCTTCCTCGACCCACCAGACTGAACCTCTCCCATGAGGTCCAGATTTACACATTCAGCTTCTTGTTTTAATACTTCCACTTGAATAACTACTATGGACAACTCAAACTTAAACTATCTACATTTGAATTCCTGAGCCTCTTTCCCAAATTCACTTTCTTCAGTCCTTTCAATCTTGTTAATGGTAATTCTACCTTTCCAGCTGCTCAAACCAAAAACCTTAGATGCATACCTGACTCTTTTCCATCCCACATTAAATATGCCACAAATATAGTTAGCTCTACCTTTGAGATATATCAAAATACAACCACTTCCTTTTGTTTCAACAGCTCACACCTGGTCTAAACTACCACCATTTCTCATCTGAATTATTGCAGGCTTGTCTAATTTGTTTCCCTGGTTTCATCTGTCACCCTACAATCTCTGCTCAAGAAAACACCAAGAGTGATCCTTTTAAAACACACACCAGTGGGCTGGGGATTTAGCTCGCAAGTGCAAGGTCCCGAGTTTGATCCCTGGTACCAAATAAATAAATGAATAAAACACACCAGAGAAGGAGATTTTTCTTGTTCCCTGTAATGGTTTCTCTCTCTTAATTCAGCATAAAAGTTCAAGTCTTTACAATGACTTAGAAGACCTTATACCAGTGATGGCAAACCTTTTGGAGCTTTCAATGATACTAACAGCCCACTGTGCCACTCCTGCCATAGGTTTGCCACCACTGCCCTATACAATCTGCCAGGTTATCACTCTGACCTCACCTCCTATTTCGCTCTCCCTCATTCTCTTCACTCTAGCAACACTGACGACCTTAGGGTTTCTTGAATATGCCGTGTATACTTCTGTCCAAGGGTCTGGGTATTGGCTGCTTGCTCTGCCTAAATGTTCTCCCTTCAGATATCCATATGGCTCCCTCCCTCACCTCCTTCAAATCTCTCCTCAGATAACTTACCTTTTAAGACAGGCATCCACTGACCAACCATTTATTTCCAGTCCAGTAGTATGACTTGTTCTTTATTTTTCCCTAGCAGCTATTAATTTTTAATGTGCTATGTGTTTAACTTACTAACTTTATTTCCCCTTTCCCCAGTAGAATATAAGCACCATAGGGTTTGGAGATTTTTAAAACCTGTTTTGTACAATGATGTATTTCCAATGCCCAGAATACACAACTTCTATATGAACGAATTGTGTGTGCATGTATCTAGCACCATGCCTGGTATACACAATGCATTCAGGAAAGTTGTTCTCTGAATAGAAGGTATAGATAGCTACATCTGAAGACAATTAAAATGCTTTGGAAAATGCTTTGCTTCCAGCAAAGATGGAGTAGCAAGTACTTCACTTACTCTTCTGCCCGAAACAACCAAAAACCCCACAAAACTCCAAACCCAAAAAACTCAGATTATTTAAAGCGATAGTTTTCAAGGAACTGAATATCAGTAGCAAATGACATTCTCTTTGAGAAAGGAGAAGCAAATGAAATGAACACTACCATTGCGAGCTTACTGCTTTGAGAGTTTCCAGGTCATAGCAGAGAGGCGGAACTGAGGCAGAACCAGGTGTACTCTGCAGGGGGAGCTG